TATAAACATTCTGTAGAAATTTTCAACTCTTTCTATTTAAATATCATCATATTGTATTTTTCCTTTTTGAAGTTTCACCTAATTGCTAAGCAACAGCTCAACACAATATTGCCATAGCTTGAACAGTCATTTCTAGCAGGATATTGTCACACAAATGCCCTATGATCTTTAGGAATAAGAAATAGATAAACACCAACTGCTTCCATTAAAAACTGCTTCTTGCCACCATAAAGAAAAATACAATGTTCATATATTGAGTTTAAGTAAAATATCAGAAACCCCCTTCAAAAATTAAAGAGTAATTGTCTTTCATTTGTGATTAGAATGTCTGAAGTTACTCATTGACCTTCTCCATAAAGTTCCCATGACTGCAGTGTCCTAACTAGCATGCTTTCTAAAAATAACAAATAAACTGCCATAATTTCTAGTAAATATGGTAGATTAAGCAGACATGTTCAGATCACCCTCCTAAAAACACCTAACAGGTGTTGGGGAAAAATAAAGTAAAAGTGATTTGTTTAATACACAGTTGAGTTTGAAAAGTATCTTTTGACCTCTTCTTAGACCCCAGTGCAAACTGCTATCTTACTGAAAGTTGGGTAAGTTCAGACTCAGACTTGGGTATTGTAAAATGGAAGTGGTACATGAAGGGTTAAGCTTAAGAGGCTCCAGGGATCACAAGTATCTACTAGGACTAGGTGACCCAGGCCCCCATGGCATCTCCCTCTGTCAGTAGGCCTCCTTGAGTCCTCCTCAGCTCACACCTATGGTATCATTTCGGGGAGGAATCCCCTACAGGAAGTTTATGGACAAAGAACAGCCTGACTTGGTGCATGATAGACTGGCTTGGTAGAAGATGAAAATGGGATGCTTCTGCCTCACCATCCAATTCAGTGTATTGCAGAAGGACAGCAGTGAGGGGAAATACCTCTGATGAATATATTCAGATGATGTATTTCAGCATCTGAATGATAAGTGCCCTAAAATAAAGGTAAACAGGGACTCATGGGGAGAGGGAGATGAGTGAAATGATTCTTAGAAGTAACATTGAAATGCCGGCCTCTGGAAGTCTGGGAAAAACACATGTGCATGGGCCACAGAGATGGAGACATGTGAATCAGCACAAAGTGTGAGACCATCCCCTTCTGTATGAGAAGACACCAAAATGAGATAACCCACAAGGAGACATATGCAAATCTGTTTGCCAAAAACTCTTGGAAAATCCTACCTTGTATGTCAAGGCTGTCAGACATTTGCCATCTTATAATTTTTCTTCCTCTGGGAAGAGACTAAACACTGGTACTAGCATTTCCAGAAACACCAGATGCAAAACCCTCACTATTTTATCCCAGGAGATAATTCTTGCAAAATGCAAGCAGAGAAAGACTCAGGGCATGTCAGTCTTACATCTCACTCTTAATTTAGAAAAGTAATGTATGTGTCCTTCTTCATAATGTTTCTGTTAAGAAAAGCCTACTTTCTCAGTGTTTCTCCTAAGAAAAGCTCACTTCATAATGTCCCTCATAAGAAAAGAATGGCTATAACTGGATTCATCTCCATCAATCATTCTAAAAAAAAAAAAAAAAAAGGCGGGCCTCTCCATGGCACAGGAGCTAGGTCTCAACACTATAAAGCTATGCACAGCCACTGCAGCACGAATTTAATACCCAGCCAGGGAGGTGACCCACATGGCACAGCAGACCTCTCCTGCCTCAGCTGTTGCTAACTTCAGCAGTGTATTTCAGTAGATCCCCCTAGTCCGCTCCCCTTTTTATCCCTGGTGAATCCTTTTACCCCCTGCACCGATGGCCTATACCCCAGTTCTTGTATGTATAAATAAATAAATCTTTTATTAAAAAGACAGGAGAGGATCCCTGGTGGGGGGTCAAACTCATGCTGCAGTGGCTGACTATAGTTTGATAGTGCTGTGTTCTTAAAACCCCTGTTCCACCAGGGAGTTCCATTAAAATAAACCTTTAAAAAGAAAGAAGGTGTCTTGAGCCAGAGTTCCAAGTTCATGTCCACAAAATGGGCCTTCTTTTAATTCACCTCTATTAAGATAAAGTTTCTTAACTATGCAGATTTTTGAAATATAGAAAGGAACTTTACAGAAGAAACTGAGAAAACAGTGTATCTAAAAAATTCTATCATCTAATATTATCTCACCTAGAAAACAACAAATACTTGTTTGAAAAGCTTTGGGTTGACTTTTATCCCTTGTGTTAACTTGTATCTCACTGTTTTGTAAAAGAACTAACTAATTAATATGTGTTTGACATTGAGAAGGGCATCATCCCTGTAGTCCTAAAATATTCAGAAATCAATAAAGTATCACTTTGCAGAGTACTTGAAGATATCTTCCAAATAAACAGGATAAAGAAAACCAAACAGAGAAAATGGGAAAACAATTCACTAAAGAGATCTTGAATGTTCAAAGAACACATAAAGAGATGCTCATCTTCAATAGCTATCAGAGAAATGCAAATTAAGATAGTCTCAAAATATTAGTCATACATTACTAAGTATCAGCAATGAAAGCCCCAGACAGTCTTCTAGTTATGTAACCACTTTGGAGAACAATTTAGTATCAGAGACCCAAAGCTTTGAGGGTCGGACATACACCAGAAGCACTAGAACGAGAGTGCAGAAGGACACATAAACAACATTATATTTAGTCACACTGTTGTCATAGGAAAACAAATGGAAGTAACCTAGATGTCCATTAGTTGGGGAATAGAAACATAATTATGATGCATTCCTGGAAAACTAGCAATTTAAAATACAAATGAGCTAATTCTACAGGCATCAAAATTAGTAAGTCTTGGAAGCACACTGTTGAGTGAAAATAGCAAAATACTATTATGTAAGCATTTAAAATAGTCAAACTGCACTGTATGCTGTGTAGTTTGTGAATCAATAGATACATCATAGATCTAAAAACATGGACAAGAATTACAAACCAACTTTAAGACCCTGATTAGGTCTGGAGAGGGAGAAAGACGATTTCAATTATATCTGTAATTTTTTCATATTACAAAAAAAAAAAAGCTCCAGTTCAAAATACTAACAGTTGTTAAGTCTGAATGGTGGATACGTCTATGAATATTTGAAATGATTTGTCATTTAAAAAAGAAAAACAATTCATGATTCATTAAATTAAAACAAGCTGAAATAAAGCAAAAGAGATTCCATATCTGTGCCCGGTAAACTCCAGTTCTGGGCCACAAGTGGGCGAGGTTCAGGGAAGACAGTGGGCCCCGGCTCAGCATGAATGGAGGGACAAGACCACAGGTAACAGACAACCACGCAAGCAGGCAGACTGGTGAGGAGTGAGGCCCTGGGTGGGGTTAGATGAGGGTGTGATGAAGGAAAAAGTTTCGAGTTTTGGGCTGTCTGGGGCCAGCTGAGCCAGCAATGCTGAAAGGGGTGGCCTCTGTGCTGAGCATCAAAACGTCGCCAAGGTGTGAGGCAGGTCTGTAGGTGTGAGGCCGGACTCATAGGCCCTTGTCCCTCCCTTGCTCCCTCTGCTCTTCCTGCAAGGCTGTCTCTCTCCTCGCCTTCCAGCCCTCTGCCTCACTCAGAAACCCCCTCTCCTTTCTCCAGCTTCTCATCACAGTCACCTCTTTTTTGTCTGTTTTATTGTATTGATGCTTATAGCAAGTTATTTCCTCTATTTAGTAAGAGGTGGCATTTCCTATTGAAAACTTAAAATAAATTAGTTTAATTATTCTTCTATTGCTAGGAATTAAAATAATTTTAAAAAATCTTAATATAATAAATATTCCCTCACTCCAGCCCTTCTCAGCGGCCTCGAAGGAGAAACAAGGACTTCTCTTTTAGTATTTATTTATTTTGAGTCTTTTCTAATGAGAGTGACCCATTAAACATCTACTATGCCAACCACTGGGTGGACTCAGTGGTTTGCACGAGTTGTTTAATTTAATTCTGATATACACCAAAAAATCCACAAATAATCCTGTAGTTTATTGTTATAGGTCATTTCCATCTCATCAGTGTAAAAGAAAAGTTATAAAGGGGTTAAGTAATTTACCTAAGTTCTAGAAAATGACCCAGCGGAAATTTAAATCCAGTCAGCTTCCAGAGCTCTCAAGCTATGCAGAAAAATTGTCCCTGACATGAAGTCTGGAGAGATTCTTGAGCATATTATTTCACTCACTATCAAGTTTTAGGAGTCACTATTTTTCTAGAAATTTTGAACTTTATGATTTCTCAGTATAGTGCTCAGATGATTATATGTTCAACGACAAAATTAAATTATCAAACGTAATAAAAACCTCTCTCTAGCTTTCGCTCTCTTTTACACACACACACACACACACACACACACGCGTGTGCACACACAAGCAGCCACACTTCCGGGTCTAAAGGGTTTCTCAGAGACTCCGCCTCAGCATTAAGGATGCTAATTGCTACTCTAGCAGTTACTGGAAGATCAAAGAACCGCCCACAGAGCGAGCTGCTGTTTCATCTTTCACAGCCCAAACACTAATATTGCCCACCCCCCGCCATCCATCTCCCCCTTTCAAGTTGCCATGTTGGGCCAATTCCCTCTCTTCCCCACATGCTCTCCCAGGCCCTCAAATAGTTCTGCGCCAAAAATAAACACTCAAGAAAATTGCTTGTGGAATGGATAAAGAAAGGTAACTTCACTATCATTAAGTTTCCCTTCTAATTACCACAGTTTGTCTAAGGATGTGCATGTTTGTTTGTGGTGGCAATTCAAAAACCCATCACAGGAACCCTCCGCAGCCTGCCTCCCAGGAGCTCAGGGAGGAATTCTCTGGCCTTGTCATCTCTCCAGTACCGAAGTCCTGGGCACAGAGTACACACCACCCCATCACCCTGTCCCTGGACCTTGCGCGTGGCATGATGCCAGTAGGCACTCACTGGGTAGGGCAAAGGGGGTGGAGGGGGAGGGCACATTTTGCTAGAGAGTAGGATTATGAAGTGGGCCCCCTTCTCAGGAGCAAGATACCTACCCTTCTGGGTAACAGTAGGGGCCGTCCATCATACATTCCGAAGTAGACTTGGTACAGCCAGAGAGGGTCAATTGCTCCGGTGCCTGGGTGCATGAGGCTCTCCACATTGCTGGCGACTCCAGCACAGCTTCCCCACGTTCCATACAGAGGGAAAAAATGACCAAGTGGCATTCAAGGAGCCCCTCAAAGCAGAGCAAAGAGGTGGTGAGTCTTGGAAGAGAGGCTCCCAGGGGAATGTGGGCAAAGTTAACTGCGAACGAATCATCCGTGGTCCAGGAGGTGCATCAGCACCCCCTCCTCACCCCTACCAAAGGCAGACACCTCTTGCACTGCAATAGGGATTGCATCTTCAGTAAGAAGCACAAACTGGGTCCCACTTTCATTCAGGGGTCTGCTTTCTCCCCACCATTGCTCAAAGCATCTCTTTCCACTGTCAGGCACTGCTCGTCCAGCCCCAATCACTAATGGAGGTCTGAGAAACCCGCATCCACACTTAGATCCCTGCCGTGGGCCTCTAGAGTCAGCTGAAACCTTTCTCAGTGCAGTTCTCACTGCCAACACAGAGTCACTAAATACTGTGGTTGCAGATTTTCAGCAGGCTGAGTATCCTCTATAGAGAGTTCAATGTCTTTCTTTCCTTTCTCTTCCTTTGCTTTTTTCTTCTTTTCTTCCCTTCCTTTTCTCCCTCCCTTTCTTTGTTCTCTCCCTCCTTCTCTTCTACCCCTCCTTCATTCTCCCTCCTATCTTCTTTCTCCCTTCCTTCCTTTCTTTCCAGCACCATTTCCTACCCCCACACCCAAGAAATATTTCTAAAGCCCATCCCTACCATCCTGCATTTGCTTCAGTCTCTCAGATTCATAGTTTGTCTCTCTGGATGCATCAGTTTTTGAATAATGCACCATCTCCCACTTCTGTTCTCTCAAATCTATCTGGAAACCACTGCCATGTGCTGTCTTTCCAAGGAGGGCCTGTGCATTGCATTCTGCTGCTCGAATGCCCTCAGTGACCCCCATTAAAGGCTTTATCATTTATGCTGTGTCAGGAATCCTACACAGTTGGCATCTATAGGGAAATATTAACCCTGAGTTTCAGTTTATGCAGTCGTTGGGCCTGAACAAGTGGACTTACCTCCCAGGAATCCAAATTGCACAAAATGATGGACTCCAAGAATAGTTGCTGTCTTTGACCACCAACACCAAGGCAGCTAAGTATTGGTGAGTAATAGTCTTCCTAGGCAGGGTGCTAAGTGGGAGACAATATACCCCCAGGGAACAGGCTTAAAGGACATTTGAATATGTACTAGGTAGTCACATAAATTGTATTTCACCCAAACTTCCTCATCCCTACCACCCCTCTAGTGCCAAATTCCTGGGATAAAAAGTGAAGGGAAGATGAGTTAAAAGAACCAAGTAGGAGAGGAAGACACCCAAGCTGCTGTCACAGAGACAATCACCTGACATGTCTGGCATGGACGTTCCTCTGTTGTAGTCAGGGAGAAAGCTGACGAGCCACGTTCTCGCCCAGGAAGGGGCAGCCACTAAAAGTGACATTAGCACTATAAGCACAGGCCACTCAGAAAGGCATAGGAAAGACCAAGTCTCACAAGAGGAGATGGAAAAGATCGCTGTGGCATTCATTGTGACACATCCCAGAGATCCCATTCATGGAAAGACAAGATTATCGGGAGTAGGATCCGGGCCAGTTCCATTATGGTGCCAGCTATCCCTCATTTACATATCAGACTGGTTACCTGAGGGAATGTTGGTTAAAGTTGAATAACTTATAACTTGAACTAAGTCTCTTTTCCTTAGTTAATATTCAATTGTGGCCCTTAATCCTCAATGAACATAGCCAAATGTCCCTGCCATTATGATTTTTTTCTCAGGCTAGAGTTGGCCAAGGTATCTTTCCTTTCTCTGGTCTCTGTTTCAGGTTTGACAATATTACCCATCCTCCAGAGTTCAATTTAAATGTTGCCTCTTACATGAAGTGCTCCTTGATTGCCTTGATTTTCGTCTCCTAAGTTCATATGAACATCTCTCCTTGCTTGAGGATTCTGACCATGTCCTATCTTGTGATGGAGCTTTTTTGTGTGTGGTTCTCAGGTCATGGAGACTTCCAGGCAACTAAACAGCATGAGCATTTTAAATTGCCATTTTACTTGATCTCTTTATAGTATTTAATACTTTTGAATATATTCTTCTTCTTGGAATATTCATCCCCTTGGTATCTATATAGACATCTGGTTTTGCTGCCTGGCTTCTTCCCTGCCTTCTTCAAGTAATAGGCCTCCAATTTTCTTCTGAGGAATTCTCTGTCGGTGAGGTGTGGATAGGACTGATGTCACCCCAGCTGAGAGATGAGCTTCTATCTTAAGCTGTGTCAATGGTGTGAAACCTGATGTTACTGCTGGAAAAACCAACAGAAGAGAGATGCTTTCTATACCTGCAGTGGGTTGTAGACCTGAAGCTTTGCTGGTGATCTGATTGGACCATCACATGGGAGAACCATTTGGCAAAGAAACTCATTCAGAAGAAAGCAGAACTGAGACATGGAAAGGGAAGCAGGACCTGGAGGACCTGTTTGAGTACTTGTTCCAAGCATGCTCATTGGTCCTCCTTCAGGTTGTGAGGCCAACCAATCCTTTTTGTTGTTGTTGCTTAAATCTGTTGAAGATGGATTTCAATAAAGTGCATATAAAAGGGTCCTAATTCAGCCTCCAGGGCACTTCACTCTCGGCTTTTCTCCTCCTGCCTGGTTGCTTGCTCTTAATCACCTTAATTTACTGAGCATTCTCTGCTCAGCTTTGAAATGTCATCCTATTCCTAGTCCCTCTACTGTTCTATACATTATCTCTCCTGACAATATCAGACAGATCTTTGGTTTCCATCATTGCCTCAGATTTATAGTTTTAACCCAACTGTCCCTTAGAATGCCATACTCTCTCTCTCTCTCTCTCTCTCTCTCAGCCACCAGCTTAATGTGTGTGCTTGGGTGCCTCGAGGGTATCCTAGATGGGTCATTTGCATCCTGAATTAGGGTTCTTACTCCTTAAATAGTTCTTTGTTCCTGTCACAGCAAAGAGCATAAAACAAAAACCTAGACTTATCTATTCTCTATACTTAAGCCAAAGTGATTCTTTTAGCACAAATGGGATCATTCATTTAACACAAATTACCTGAACACTCATATCATCCCATTGCTCACAGAATACATCAGAATACATCCAGAATCAGGAGCACAGACCCCCAAGCCCTGCCCAATGTCATCCTTGCCTACTTGTCTCTCAGAGCTCTCTTCTCTGCTCCTGGAGCTCAGTCACTCAGCCAACCAATCATTTCTTCAACGTTGGCAAGGTCCTGTCACCTTGGGGTCTTTACACTTACCTTTCCTTTGTCTGGAAACTGCTCTCTTAATATTCACCTAGTTCACTGAATATCAACCTCAGATCTCAGCTAGCAGGTCCAAGAAGCCTTGCCTTACTCTTCCAGACTGCATCAGGTCACCCTAACACTTATCATGGCACCCAGTAATTTACCTTCATCATACTCTCTATGTCAGTTTCATTCTTTGGTTCATACCTATGTCCCCCATGAGACTAAGCTTCCAGGGGCAGGACTGTGTCTGCTTTTCTCATTCATGTTTCCTTAGCACTTCAACCAATTGTATCGTGGGCAGTGGGCACCAACTACTATTTGCAGAAGTGAGCCAGGAGCACTTGATATCCCCTGCTAAGTGTATAAGCTCATGTTGACATGTGAAACCTGCAGGATGCAGAAAGGTACCACCAGCCAGTGATGAATAAAAAGGAGAACTTCCAAAGGAAATAGCACCCCAGTGAGTAGACAGAAGCCTGGAGCACAGCAACAGGGTGAGACCAGACCTAAATTAAAGTCACACTGGTCAGGGGAAGTAGGCTGAGACAGGATCACGTGGCAGTATATTTGTAGATAGCGCTTTGCTTGACTGGGCTGCTTAGTTGAGAATGGAGTGGAAAGTCCCAGGTGATGTTTTCTAATACAGATAAATTTCGAAGATAAGCATTATAAACCAATCAAAGAACTTCTAGGATGTGTGTGAAGTATCATTGTAAAATTAATGAGGAAGATGTGATATGGACTCGTGGAAGATAATTCTGTTATGTAATCTAAAGATGAGATGCCCACACTCTCATTGCATGTTAAAACTTTAGAGGGCAATGTGATCTAGCACTGTTGAAAAATTAATAAGGTAAACGCAGAAAGCATCACTCTGTCTATTCTTCGTGCCAGGAAATATTTATGTATAAACTGCCTGGACAGGGAACTCGGGAACAAAAAAAAAAAAATCAAAGCTTTATTTTTTTAATGCACAAAATACTTTTTTTGGGCACTTAAATGAAACCACTTAGGCCAGTTCCTAAGGTTATGATCACCTTTACCTTTTTTGGTGTCTTGGGGAAGTACTGAAACCCGTCTGTGGGATAATGAAGTATGTTAAGTAGGTTAAACAAGGTAATAGTATAGCCCATGTTTTAAAATGGTGTCTGATCCAATTGAACAATCAAAAGGTTATCTGTGTTTTTTTTTTAAGATTTTATTTATTTATGCATGCAGAAACAGATGCGCAGGGCCACCAGAAACAGAGTGGGGAACAGAATAGGCAGATTGACAAAGGACACTGCTGAAGGGAGCAGTGGTCAGGTCAGGAGAGGTCTGCGGTGCCATGTGGGTCACCTCTGGAACCGGGATCAAACTCGCACTGAAGCAGCCACAGCTTGGCTTAGCTTTGCAGTGCAGCGCTCCAACCTGCTGCACCACCAGGGAGAGCCCCTGGTATTCCTTTTCAGTATTACATTATGACTAGATTGTTGGGCCTTCCTAGGAACTGAGACGGCAGTTGTACAAAAGACAGTCGAGATATTAGAACCTCAGAAAGCTTCTACTGCATGTAAGGGGGAGACAACTTAGTGCATAAACTAGTAAACCCCTCATTTCAGAGGGGGACAGATGCAAAGATAGATAATGGTGTGGAGCATTTCTGGGGGCAGAGGCCACTGTCAGAAGAGAAGTCAGGAAAGGTTTTTCTAAAGAGACAACAGCTAAGCTGGGACTACAGTAGTGGCAGTCATGCAAAAAATGGTAGCAAGGACATGCCAGGTGTACCATGAGTGCAAAGGTACTGAGGCTGAAGTGAGATGGTGTATTTGAGGAAGGAAAATGCAGTGTGGCTATAGGATGGTATGAGGAGAACACAGAGGTAAAAGGCACAGTCAGATAGGATGAGATGCTAAGAATGATCAGCAGCAAGTTGGATTGACTGAAGAACAAAGGTAGAATCTTGACTGGATACAGGCTTGTTGAGGAAAACTCTGTGATGTAATCTTCCACAACATTTCTGCTGGTAGGGTACTACAATTCAGCAGCATGTGACCCCAAGCTAACCAGGAATCAGGGTTCTGGCTTAGAGGAAAGAGTGAGTCAAGGCAGAACCTTTCTGCAGAGGCCATAGAAGGCAG